ATGATCCATGTTTTTCATATAACAGGAGTCTGTTGTCCACTGAGGATTGTCAATATTGTAATATAGTATAACAGTGGGGATGGAAAAAAAAAGCCCTGTAGCTATTACACACACCCTCAGAGTAATACTTCTATTTCAGAGCGGTCGATGCAAAGCAGCAGTGAGGTTGAAGTCTCACATCATGTGTGTGTGTGTGTGTGTGTGTGTGTGTGTGTGTGTGTTTTGTTTGTGAGCGTGCCCCATTTGCTCCCTGAGCTATGTGTGTGCCCTGATGGTCTCTGCAGCTTGTGTGTGTGTGTGTGTGTGTGTGTGTGTGTGTGTGTGTGTGTGTGCGCACGCTCCAGTGAGGAGCAGCGGGACTGAATTGAGTCGTCGCTCGTCATCATACTGACCAGTCGCCATGGTAACATGGGCAAACCACATACCAGGCCACTGCACAATCCATTAGGTGAGAGATGTGAGGATAGGGAAAACAAAGGAAGACAAGACAACACACTTTTATTTACCAGGTTTATTTTACCAGTTTTTCCTTATTTTTTTTATTTATGATGGTATTGATCTGTGTCACAGGCAGCCACTAGGCAGGCTGCTGCTGGAACGTGCTCGCCTTTGTTTCCCAAAGAATAAAAAGAAACATCGACTGCTCCACTGGGAATAACACACACACACACACACACACACACACACACCACAATTCTTTCTTTGCTGTATTTTTATGGATATTCTTTAACCTCTAACAGATTTCTAACCAAAGTGTGAAAACAGATTTAAAAGCAATGTAGTCTTTTTTTCTATTCATATCCCCTGGAAAGAAAGTTTGCTCTAATGTCTGCCATATGTGTCAGACAGAAAATCAAACGGATGAAATTAAATCGTCAGCATTCAAATCGTCACAAATAAAGCAGAGCAATATGATCATATGATATCAATATTGTATTAAATTACATTATAATACACCTTTCTGGAAGTACTGTGGGAATAGTCAGCAATTTTATACAGTAAGTCTGAGAGAGTACCCCTCCCCATCAGCAGACGTCACTAGCTCAAGAGTTCTGGTTCTTTATTGCACTTCCTGTTCCCATTTCATTAACACATACTGGTCCTGTTTGAGCACACGTTATGTCTCCACAAAGCCTTGCCACGTCTACCTAGTCATGTTTGAGCCATGTTGTTCTGCCTGCTTTGCCTGTGTTTTTGACCTTTTGCTATTGTTGGACTTCTCTTTTGGATGATCATGGTAAAAATATTCGCAGTATGATGTTTTTGCCATGTCACTCACCCTTAGTTAAAAATAATGACCACAGGAATTAGATTCACGGTAATAAACCAACGAGCCCTTGCTTCTCCTCTCATTCAGATGTGCTTTGTTTGCAGTTGTTAATCCTGGATTTAATGCACATAACAGCTACACAGAGAGAAACACATTACTTCCTCTGTTGATTTTATTTTAGGTTCTCCAAAGAGCAACATAATAGCCTCTCATTTCACATCAGTGCCAGCTCCTGTTGTAGGCCGTGCAGCTCGGAGCAGCTTCATCGTGGTGTTAGGAGAATCGACTGGCAGGCGCCCGATTTACCCAGGGCTCTTGGCACTTCCCAGAATTCTGTTTTGGAAAAATGGCAGCAGATGAGCGGAAATTCGGCAGTAGATCATGCCAACACCTGATGGCACCGTGTAGGAGAATAATGCAAAGATGACAACAATTTACTAATCAGAAAAGCATCAGATCAGTGGATATGAATTCAAGCCCTAAAATTCTAGAGATTATTAAGCTGTTGATTAGGTGGGAGTAACTAATTATAAGGGTTTGTTTATTTTTCTTCTGATGTTGCCCTTTCACAGCAGTATAGCTTTATTCGAATGGATTATTTATTTCACATAACATCTGGTGTCTTACTTTTTTCTGGCACACAGTAAGACATTTCTGTGGATTTTGGATTTGAGATAAAGACACTGATGAGCAAGTTAAATATCACCTTTACTTCAAGGATATTGGCGTCTATAGTGGGTATGCAAGAGTGAAAACAGCTATTCATGCTGAGTGTCTTAACATGTTCTAGTAATTAAAAGAGCTTATACTGGATAATTATGGTATTTATCGTTATGAAATTTAAATGGCAATCCTTATTTCTTTCTTTTATTTTCTCTCTCAATCCTTATTGGTTTAACTTTATTGACACTTACATCTATAGCAGAGCTAAACTAGCTATTGGAGCTAAAAACTCCCAAAATAAATCCATTCCTAACTACATGCCATTCATTATTAGTTTCTGAAGTTATTGAATATTTGTAGACATTGCTGGATAATATGCTTTATATTCCTTTAATAAAGGAATAATAAGCAGAGATGTTAGAGAGTTAACATTTGATGAGTGGCAAACAGATTTTAAAAAGTGGCAAACATGAAAGCAAGGACTAGCGTTGTCACAAACAGAGGTCTGGTTTGGCTCGGTTTAATTCAAATAGTTGTAAAGATGTACTGAGTATAAATCTTGGCCCTTTGAGCATACAAAATCTCTTCCAATATAATATAAAAATAAACTCCTCTAATGTTATTTTTATGCAGCTTTCTTTTAAAAGGAAAAGAGTCTTTGACAGCAAGGTTTTATTTTATTCATTACTGTATGTACAAATTACGCGAGCACTATTAACAGATTTCTCCAGCATTACTACTACAAGACGAATTGTACGTGCAAGCCCCTTTATTCCGATGGATGACTTTAATTAAATTCAGGTATTGAATTAAGATCATGGCACAGATTCAAATGGCTTAGTTCAAGCTAAAAATAGGGCCAGTGCTTGATGACTCTCTGCGGACTGTTGGGCAGAAGTGAGAATGGATAAAAGGCGAGGTTGTGGGCTCAGAGCTGATGCTTTTAATGGCCTGTAGTAGCCTATGAGCACCAGCGTACAGACGTTTGCACTGAAAGATGTCCAGAGTGGTGATGTTTGGGTACGGAGTCTATTTTAGGTAGTAGGAAAGAGATTCCTTTTGAATTCCTTTTTTTTTTTCATTTAGCTGCACCTGTTCACACACTTTCTCATGTTAATGTTGAAGACTTAACGGCAGATTTTTCACTCTTTTTTTGGTGTTCTAACCTCAGAAGTCTGAACAGCATAATAAATGGATTGGAGTATGGTATCTCTGTGTGGATTGAATTAGTTATACCCTATGTATGTGTTTTAACTGGTATTTTATCATAAATGAATATTGACATTTCTGTTTAGTAGTATGCCTGGACAATTGTCTTAAATATTACCTTCAGTTCAAGGATAGTGGCAACTACAGAAGGTATATAAGAGAGAAAGCAGCTATTGGACCTGAAGAAGAAGAAGAAGTTGCCAGGCACATTAATAAATACAGCTGTCGTATTGTAATGTTTGCTTACTTGTGATGGCACATTGTACTGTATTTTAAAGCAAGTGCAAAACAGAACTACTATGATTATTATTTTTAATATCTTCCAATTGCCAACATTTGGTTATTTGCCAATTTCCACCCACTATCAACCCCGGCTACTAACCCTGGAGGGGTTAGTGAAGGCTAACATTCCTCCGAGACATGTGAAGCCATCTGACCATATCTCTTCTAAGTGCTGTTCATGCTGCGTCGCAGGGCAGAGTAACATACTCAGAGAAAAAGTGCTATCTTTCCAAAGAGTGTGCCCTCTTCCACATAGATGAACTCACATAAGCTCACAATTGGCTAGTATTGTTGTGTTTGACAGGAGAGAATAATGCCATCCCTCCCACAGGAAGAGCACAGACAGTTTTGCTGTGTTGGGCTCCTGGCTGTGAAACT